GTCTCATACTCACCAAGGCTGCATTTCTTTGATCAAATATACAGTAACAACAGTAACATTGTGAAATATTATTACCATTTAAAATTATATTCTATTTGAATATATTTTAAAATTGACTTTACTCCTGTGATGGCAAAGTTTAATTTTCAGTGGCCGTTACTCCAGTCTTCAGTGTCACATGACCATCCAGAAATAATTCAAAAATGCTGATTTGGTGCTCAGGAAATAATTGTCATTACTATCAGTGTTGAAAACAGTAAAGTTTAAAAGAGCAGCATCTATTTGAAATAGATCTATTTTGAACATTACAATATAAATGTCTTTACTGTCATTTTTGATCAACTTAATGTGTCCTGCTAAATAAAAGTACTAATTTCTTTCAGAGCACATGTTACCATACATTTGTAATAACTTGTGGGAAACTTTGTGAGTTGAGCTGTAAAAAAGTTGGGGCTAAAACACACAGATAAAGCATCAGTTATACACCCACTGCCCTTTCTTTGCTGTTCATTATTTTTGCAGTAGTGCTAAAAATCTCCCTGCCTTCGTCAGTGAGTGAAAATATGGGAGACAATTGAAATTGTTCGGTGAATCCATTTTGTTCTGAATTACCCCTCAAAACCTCAATTTTCATTAAGAAATACTTGAACACAGGACAAAAACAGCTCTTAAGTGATTACATGGTGTCTTGAAGTAAAGTGGGACAAAACAGAAAGTGCAGGCCCTGCAACTGGCTGCTTCAGCTCACCTACTTCCTCTATCATCTCAAATGAATTGTTCTGGCTGGTGGAGGTGCAGACATTTCTCTAGTCTTTGCTTTCTGTGGTGAAATCATAATCATTAATCATCTCAATCATTATCATGACAACCAGTTCCACTCAGACAGACCTTTAGGCAACCTTTTGCAAGATTCCCACTCGCTTTACCTGGTGTATGTGTGAAAAATAAATTGACTCCTCTTTAGCAAACCCTCTTAGTGACCTGATGTATATGACTCTTATTTGTCACTCTGACAGTATTGGTACAGTATTTGCAGTTTTTGTATAATTTGCCTGAGCACTTGACTTGCATTTGTAGCTGTGCTGATAACTGCCATATTTACAATGTCAACTTTGTTTTAAGTTACTGTTTGACAGGGCCTGCTGAACATAGATATGAAAGTAAATGAGACTTAAAGGTGACGTACAGTAGGTAATGTTTTGATTGTAACAAAGCCTAAAAACACCATGATACATTTGCAGAGATTTAGGAAACATGCTAAGTTCACATAACCGTTTCTCCAAAAAACAACACTAAAGCTGTTCTACTTTGAAAATGTGCATTCTGTGACAGAATGCCTGTTTTTGTCTTGGTCTGTGTGAATCCACCCACTGCCAGTTTAACCAGTAGTATTTCGACACCCCGGGTTGCCAGAGAGCGGAAAACAGCACATCTCAATCATGGAAGCCAGCAAACAAACTGGGTCAGAGACTGTAGATTCTACCCAACATGAAAAGCCTTGGCATCAACCTAAAAAGACCAGAGGCATATTAAAACGAGGATAAATCAACTGATCAACTTACAGTATAAGGCTCGTCACCTTCCATTTTCAATTGCGCTAATTCCCGTTGCATGTCCTCAATCTGACAACTCGCTGGAGAGTCGCATCGCATCTGAGAAGGAGAGGGGGGGACAATATTTTGAATTTGGACTGCAGTACCCATTTCAACCACTAACTGTCAATTACATACTGCATCATTAAATCAAATAGAGATCTATGACTTCAAAACAGTAATGTTAATGTTGTTTTTTTTAATGTGGATACTGATATGTAGTTAGCAGGAGGGTCAACATGATGCAGATATATGATATAATTCAAATTTAATGATAGTACTGTATATGGGATGTACACAGAAATGCTACTAATTTAGATATGATATAAATATTGTAAATAAAATGCACTAGAATTTAAAAAAAATTGGGGTCTATAAGATTTTTTTAATACCTTTTTAAAAAAACACTGGTGTGGTGTCCATGACGGCTGGAGACTTTAACTTGGCGTCCATGACAGCCAAGGACGTTGGCGTGGCGGTCATTAGGCCTAAGGACTCTGGAGTGGTGACCATGATGGGACGAGACTCGGAAATGGCAGCCATGATGGGACGAGTCTGTGGAGTGACGGTCCTGTTGTGATGAGCCTCTGGGGTGGAGGCTACTGCGGGAGCACTGCGCCTCTACAACTCCCACAGTAAAAGCAGAGCCATTCACTTGCAATGCCAGATCTGTTCTAAAGTCCCACTAAGATCATGCAATGGCATGAGGGAACTGAGCGGTTCAGATAGCCCCCCTCAAAAAAATATCATAAGACATACCTCGTCAAAAGATGTTGAATGCACCAGTCCAATAAAGTCCTAAACATAGTCTTCGATTGATCTATCTCCTTGACAGAGACATTTTAACTGTGCAGCTGGATTCATTGTTTGAGTTGTTCTGTAGTGTGTTCGAAGAGACGAGGCAGAGAGAGAATCCAAATTCACATAGTTTTAACAAAAGGCAAAAAAAGACAGATGCTCCAAATCTGGAAAATGGCAAATAGTTCACACAGAGAAACAGGAACATAAGCCAAAGACCACAAAGGGACACCTTCTTGAGCCCGAAAACTCAGAGTTTGCTCAAACTAAACGTGAACTTACCTGGGTAAAAACTGAAACCGACTTCATGCTACAGGCCACTGGAGTCATAAGTCATTGAGGTCTGTTTTTCCTTTTATGCCTTTGTGTTACAGCTTTTTTTTCTGTCCTGAGAGACACTTCCTGAGATCTATATTCTGGTGTACTTCTAAATGTTTATCAGATTCACTGTCGCAGATTTCTTTTCAGTAATAATTTTCCAAAAAAAATATTAACGACTCGTCCTGCACTTACATTTTTTCTAATCAGATGCCGTCTAGATTGAGCCTTTCTGCAACAAACTAGCAGATAGCGATTCATTTGATTATACCATTCAAAAGTTTGGGATTGGGAAGATTTTTTTTTTTTTTGAACGATGTCTCATACTCACCAAGGCTGCATTTCTTTGATCAAATATACAGTAACAACAGTAACATTGTGAAATATTATTACCATTTAAAATTATATTCTATTTGAATATATTTTAAAATTGACTTTACTCCTGTGATGGCAAAGTTTAATTTTCAGTGGCCGTTACTCCAGTCTTCAGTGTCACATGACCATCCAGAAATAATTCAAAAATGCTGATTTGGTGCTCAGGAAATAATTGTCATTACTATCAGTGTTGAAAACAGTAAAGTTTAAAAGAGCAGCATCTATTTGAAATAGATCTATTTTGAACATTACAATATAAATGTCTTTACTGTCATTTTTGATCAACTTAATGTGTCCTGCTAAATAAAAGTACTAATTTCTTTCAGAGCACATGTTACCATAAATTTGTAATAACTTGTGGGAAACTTTGTGAGTTGAGCTGTAAAAAGTTGGGGCTAAAACACACAGATAAAGCATCAGTTATACACCCACTGCCCTTTCTTTGCTGTTCATTATTTTTGCAGTAGTGCTAAAAATCTCCCTGCCTTCGTCAGTGAGTGAAAATATGGGAGATTGTACTTCTAAATGTTTATCAGATTCACTGTCGCAGATTTCTTTTCAGTAATAATTTTCCCAAAAAAATATTAACGACTCGTCCTGCACTTACATTTTTTCTAATCAGATGCCGTCTAGATTGAGCCTTTCTGCAACAAACTAGCAGATAGCGATTCATTTGATTATACCATTCAAAAGTTTGGGATTGGGAAGATTTTTTTTTTTTTGAAAGATGTCTCATACTCACCAAGGCTGCATTTCTTTGATCAAATATACAGTAACAACAGTAACATTGTGAAATATTATTACCATTTAAAATTATATTCTATTTGAATATATTTTAAAATTGACTTTACTCCTGTGATGGCAAAGTTTAATTTTCAGTGGCCGTTACTCCAGTCTTCAGTGTCACATGACCATCCAGAAATAATTCAAAAATGCTGATTTGGTGCTCAGGAAATAATTGTCATTACTATCAGTGTTGAAAACAGTAAAGTTTAAAAGAGCAGCATCTATTTGAAATAGATCTATTTTGAACATTACAATATAAATGTCTTTACTGTCATTTTTGATCAACTTAATGTGTCCTGCTAAATAAAAGTACTAATTTCTTTCAGAGCACATGTTACCATACATTTGTAATAACTTGTGGGAAACTTTGTGAGTTGAGCTGTAAAAAAGTTGGGGCTAAAACACACAGATAAAGCATCAGTTATACACCCACTGCCCTTTCTTTGCTGTTCATTATTTTTGCAGTAGTGCTAAAAATCTCCCTGCCTTCGTCAGTGAGTGAAAATATGGGAGACAATTGAAATTGTTCGGTGAATCCATTTTGTTCTGAATTACCCCTCCAAAACCTCAATTTTCATTAAGAAATACTTGAACACAGGACAAAAACAGCTCTTAAGTGATTACATGGTGTCTTTAAGTGATTACATGGTGTCTTGAAGTAAAGTGGGACAAAACAGAAAGTGCAGGCCCTGCAACTGGCTGCTTCAGCTCACCTACTTCCTCTATCATCTCAAATGAATTGTTCTGGCTGGTGGAGGTGCAGACATTTCTCTAGTCTTTGCTAGTACTCCAGTCTTCAGTGTCACATGACCATCCAGAAATAATTCGAAAATGCTGATTTGGTGCTCAGGAAATAATTGTCATTACTATCAGTGTTGAAAACAGTAAAGTTTAAAAGAGCAGCATCTATTTGAAATAGATCTATTTTGAACATTACAATATAACTGTCTTTACTGTCATTTTTGATCAACTTAATGTGTCCTGCTAAATAAAAGTACTAATTTCTTTCAGAGCACATGTTACCATACATTTGTAATAACTTGTGGGAAACTTTGTGAGTTGAGCTGTAAAAAAGTTGGGGCTAAAACACACAGATAAAGCATCAGTTATACACCCACTGCCCTTTCTTTGCTGTTCATTATTTTTGCAGTAGTGCTAAAAATCTCCCTGCCTTCGTCAGTGAGTGAAAATATGGGAGACAATTGAAATTGTTCGGTGAATCCATTTTGTTCTGAATTACCCCTCAAAACCTCAATTTTCATTAAGAAATACTTGAACACAGGACAAAAACAGCTCTTAAGTGATTACATGGTGTCTTGAAGTAAAGTGGGACAAAACAGAAAGTGCAGGCCCTGCAACTGGCTGCTTCAGCTCACCTACTTCCTCTATCATCTCAAATGAATTGTTCTGGCTGGTGGAGGTGCAGACATTTCTCTAGTCTTTGCTTTCTGTGGTGAAATCATAATCATTAATCATCTCAATCATTATCATGACAACCAGTTCCACTCAGACAGACCTTTAGGCAACCTTTTGCAAGATTCCCACTCGCTTTACCTGGTGTATGTGTGAAAAATAAATTGACTCCTCTTTAGCAAACCCTCTTAGTGACCTGATGTATATGACTCTTATTTGTCACTCTGACAGTATTGGTACAGTATTTGCAGTTTTTGTATAATTTGCCTGAGCACTTGACTTGCATTTGTAGCTGTGCTGATAACTGCCATATTTACAATGTCAACTTTGTTTTAAGTTACTGTTTGACAGGGCCTGCTGAACATAGATATGAAAGTAAATGAGACTTAAAGGTGACGTACAGTAGGTAATGTTTTGATTGTAACAAAGCCTAAAAACACCATGATACATTTGCAGAGATTTAGGAAACATGCTAAGTTCACATAACCGTTTCTCCAAAAAACAACACTAAAGCTGTTCTACTTTGAAAATGTGCATTCTGTGACAGAATGCCTGTTTTTGTCTTGGTCTGTGTGAATCCACCCACTGCCAGTTTAACCAGTAGTATTTCGACACCCCGGGTTGCCAGAGAGCGGAAAACAGCACATCTCAATCATGGAAGCCAGCAAACAAACTGGGTCAGAGACTGTAGATTCTACCCAACATGAAAAGCCTTGGCATCAACCTAAAAAGACCAGAGGCATATTAAAACGAGGATAAATCAACTGATCAACTTACAGTATAAGGCTCGTCACCTTCCATTTTCAATTGCGCTAATTCCCGTTGCATGTCCTCAATCTGACAACTCGCTGGAGAGTCGCATCGCATCTGAGAAGGAGAGGGGGGGACAATATTTTGAATTTGGACTGCAGTACCCATTTCAACCACTAACTGTCAATTACATACTGCATCATTAAATCAAATAGAGATCTATGACTTCAAAACAGTAATGTTAATGTTGTTTTTTTTAATGTGGATACTGATATGTAGTTAGCAGGAGGGTCAACATGATGCAGATATATGATATAATTCAAATTTAATGATAGTACTGTATATGGGATGTACACAGAAATGCTACTAATTTAGATATGATATAAATATTGTAAATAAAATGCACTAGAATTTAAAAAAAATTGGGGTCTATAAGATTTTTTTAATACCTTTTTAAAAAAACACTGGTGTGGTGTCCATGACGGCTGGAGACTTTAACTTGGCGTCCATGACAGCCAAGGACGTTGGCGTGGCGGTCATTAGGCCTAAGGACTCTGGAGTTGTGACCATGATGGGATGAGACTCGGAAATGGCAGCCATGATGGGACGAGTCTGTGGAGTGACGGTCCTGTTGTGATGAGCCTCTGGGGTGGAGGCTACTGCGGGAGCACTGCGCCTCTACAACTCCCACAGTAAAAGCAGAGCCATTCACTTGCAATGCCAGATCTGTTCTAAAGTCCCACTAAGATCATGCAATGGCATGAGGGAACTGAGCGGTTCAGATAGCCCCCCTCAAAAAAATATCATAAGACATACCTCGTCAAAAGATGTTGAATGCACCAGTCCAATAAAGTCCTAAACATAGTCTTCGATTGATCTATCTCCTTGACAGAGACATTTTAACTGTGCAGCTGGATTCATTGTTTGAGTTGTTCTGTAGTGTGTTCGAAGAGACGAGGCAGAGAGAGAATCCAAATTCACATAGTTTTAACAAAAGGCAAAAAAAGACAGATGCTCCAAATCTGGAAAATGGCAAATAGTTCACACAGAGAAACAGGAACATAAGCCAAAGACCACAAAGGGAGGACCAAGAACATCCAGGCACCCCAATCATAAACAAGAAAACATCCAATGACTCTTCGACCATGACTAAAACCAGTAAATGATCAACAGGTGGGAGAAATCAAACCAAAATGAGTGAGAGATACGACGTTGTAAGGAGTGACCTCTGGAGGAGCTAATGGGTACTCTGGTAATTGTGACAGTGTATACACAAATTGTAATCTCTAAATTTACCTATATCTTGTTATATTGCACTATAGCACTATTTATGTGCATTTTATTTAATTCATATGCATCATTAATTTATGTTTATGATAACGTTATGAGCCGAATTCACCGGTCACCGGAGTATACAGCAGTTGTTTTCCTCATATCGTAAAGTAAAGTTTGAAGAAACAAGATAAATCGACAGAGACATTTTAACTGTGCAGCTGGATTCATTGTTTGAGTTGTTCTGTAGTGTGTTCGAAGAGAGGAGGCAGAGAGAGAATCCAAATTCACATAGTTTTAACAAAAGGCAAAAAAAGACAGATGCTCCAAATCTGGAAAATGGCAAATAGTCCACACAGAGAAACAGGAACATAAGCCAAAGACCACAAAGGGAGGACCAAGAACATCCAGGCACCCCAATCATAAACAAGAAAACATCCAATGACTCTTCGACCATGACTAAAACCAGTAAATGATCAACAGGTGGGAGAAATCAAACCAAAATGAGTGAGAGATACGACGTTGTAAGGAGTGACCTCTGGAGGAGCTAATGGGTACTCTGGTAATTGTGACAGTGTATACACAAATTGTAATCTCTAAATTTACCTATATCTTGTTATATTGCACTATAGCACTATTTATGTGCATTTTATTTAATTCATATGCATCATTAATTTATGTTTATGATAACGTTATGAGCCGAATTCACCGGTCACCGGAGTATACAGCAGTTGTTTTCCTCATATCGTAAAGTAAAGTTTGAAGAAACAAGATAAATGTTTAGGTTCCCATACGGGTTTCTATTATTTTGCTTGGAGTTGATGCTGTGTACACTGTTTTAGCATAACAGAGTTGGATTATAGGGCCTGACAGAGATATTTCAACAGACATTTCAAACAAAAGACCAGGACTGACAGTTAGCAGTCTTAACAGTTTAGAAAGTTATGACAAGGACGACCTACTTGACTAAAGATTTCATTCCACGTTGTATTTCACCTTGAGCATGTGGGAGGAGTGATGTAGACTTTTGGTTGAGACATTGCAAATCTTCAGTATGACTACAGATGTCTGTCTTGTCAGATGTAGGAGTGTATTCAGAATGACATAACTTGTGTTTCATGGGATATATAAAACATTTCAATAAAGTTTCAAAATATGTTTGCTTCTACCCTTTGAGAAGTGTTCCCTTTTCCAAGCTAGTGGTCTCAATTTTTAGTTATTTGTTTTTTGTACTCTCCACTTTTCCTCTGAAGTTGAAGTTGACTTTCCAATTGTTTAGAAACTATTTTCATTATCTCCACATCAGCAGAGCGGGTCCCGTTCTCATCATTTTGAAAACTTAAATGCTACACACTACAAAATGAGAATTTCCTTCTTATTTACTGATTTCAAAGTTTGAAGATGCAGCCAGAATACAGACAGCAACTTTAGACAGCTCATTTTTGGACAGGCATCTCACATGGAGAAGCATAATTTTAATAGTCTTAATCTTTTTTCCAGACAGTCTGCAACTTTTTGCCATTTTTAGAAGAGGCCCCTGCATGGACTGGCCCTTGTGTGGATTAAAGCACTCATTCAGTTGGTTTATGGACGTGTTTACTCACACCGTGTCTTTGGAGAAACAAGAGAAAGAACCCTCAAGGGACCAGTGGAATGTACCAAATCGTATCTTCAGATGTGGATTTTCATAGTGGAGCAGCTCTTTGTATTTGAACTCCATTGGTTGGGGATGAGCCCACCCACCTCGCATAAACGAATGCCGGTCAAGGTCATAATGTGGGAGTGAATGACATCTTTGCAGGCCCTTAACGTTGTGCTCTTTAATCTTTGTTCATCAAGCCATCACATACTCAAATCATGTTTCATCTCCTTGTTTTGAGTTCAGTCACTGTTCTTGTTGACGCATACAAATTCACAGATGGGAGACCCCATCTCCCATCGAAAGGATGGGCCCTCAGGTCTTCAAAGACTCTCGCTCTGGCTTCTCTCGATGGGATCAGCTCTCCTGACAGCGACTGAGTTTTCAGGGCTAAATGTCTTGCCTTTCTTACCTGCTATGCCTCTCACTTTGGTAATTTGCATCTTGCTCTTTTTTTCCTCTTCTCGAGTTTTCTTGTTTAGTCTCCACTCTTTGAGCTCATTATCTCCTGGTGTCGGCTTGTTATAACAGCAGTTGCCTCTAGCGCAAATGTCTTGCTGTGTGTGTGTTTATCCTCTGTCTTTTTGGCCACCAGAAGCAAATTCGCCCCAGCCATTATATCCAATTAGCAAGAGGCTTTCTTTTCTTCTTCACCGCCCCTACCTCTCAACGCAGAGTGGTAGAGGGGAATTATGGCTGCATGCTTCTTTGATGAGAACAAATCAAGCTCTACTGACTTCATGATGATTTAAGTGCCATCAGAATGCACATTCTGTTGTCTTTCTTTTATGTTTGGCATTCAGGAAATTTAAAGGCATTTCTCTGGACTCTTTACATTACATTTTGACATAATATTTATTTGTGAACTTACTGAGATTTGTGTGATGTTTGTTTCAAAACTACCTGCTATTTGGAGTAATCATCAGGTGACGTTGCTTTTATCAATAGATGTGTGTTAAGTACTGTATTAATTAACCAAAATACATTGTCATATTAAAGAAAATTATGCGAAAGTGTCTGCATGCATTATCACTATCGCAAAAATGCCCCGACCAAACAATTAATATCAAGTAATACAAAGTGCTGTATTATAAGCTGTTTTACTTAACGGCCTACTCAATATGACTTATCTACATGTTATTACAACAGTACATATTTATTTACTTACTACAAAATACTTACGTTTATAGATGGTTAAATTATTTTTTTCAAATTTTCTAAAGTAATTCTGTCATCACTTAAACATTGTTCCAAATCTACATGACTTACTTTCTTCTGTGGAGCACAAAAGAAGATATTTTGAAATGCTATTTTTGTCCATTCAGTCAAAGTCAATGGGGTCCAATGTTATTGTTTTGATTCTTCAGACTGTCTTTTGTGTTTCGCTGAGTTGTTTTTAATAGGAAGAAAACTAATTTTCAGCTGATCTATTTGCAACAAATTTAAGAATGCTTTACTGAAACTTGTACTGTTGTGGTAAATGTGTTCAATTTGTTAATATGTTTTGACCAAATTTCTTCAGCAATAAGCCATTCAATTTAAAACTGTTCAGCATGCTTTGCATTTTTACTGCAAAAGCAAAAAGGTCAATCCCACAACCCCAATTCAGCAACAAAATGTTCAATATTCAAATGCACATGCAGGAAACACAGTTGGTCACACTCAGGCCCTTAACCAGCTATGAGGCCACCGAGGTCCGGACCTCGGTACATTTTTCATGTTCAAAAATAAAACTTGTTTAACAGCAAATTTGAATGACTAATTTGCTGGCTTGAGAGAGTTGTGAGTGAGGGCACGGGCGCAGCCTCCGTGTTGCCAGATCCAACTATTATAAGCGTTTTTGGACTTGTCTTTACCACTTAATTTAACACTATAGAAAGTTAATAAAGTAGGAAGTTGCAGTTTAGAGACAGTGATATCTTTATCTTATCTTATTTGCAAAAGATTGGAGATCATTTCGGTTTATTTTTATTTATTTTTAGTTTTTTGTTTGTTTTAGTATCAATAGCTGGCAACACTGCATTGCCGGCACTTAAACTGAAAGCAATCAAAAAGGCCCATGGCCAGGTTTTTGCTGACAGGATACGACATTCGGTAAAGGAAACGCAAAAATTATCATGATATTATCTGACATAAACTTTATCAACCCTGTCAAGAACAGTAGCATTTAACACTAGTACACACAGATCTGTAGAACAAGTAGGTTACAGAATAAAATTAAGTACACAAAAACTAAGAAGCCTATGCTATGTCATTCAGTATAGTTAAATTTTCACAAATCATGCTATAAACTTTCATAAGAGCACTAGACAAAGTTATTGTAGTTATGTATTGTTGCAATAAAGAACTGATAACATTATCCACCCTTAAATATAGTAAAGTATTAACTAATTTTGATGCAGTAAATAGGGTATGATTTAAAAATGATCATCCCTCCAAAACAGAGAAAACATCTTTCACAAGCATCTACATCGTCTGTCTCCTTTAAAGTGTTTATAGTGTATATAATGAGTTGTATTTGTAGGGGTTATTATAACACAATTCTTTAACACCAACCCCCATCATCCCCCCAACCAATTCTCATTAATTTTCCTCACTAATTTTCAAAGCCTGGGTACGACCATGGTCACACTGGCTCACTCTGCTGAACAATGCGTCCATCATTAAATGACTGCTAACCCGCACAGTTTCACTTTAACCTCTATATGGTTTATGTGCTGTGCAGAGCTGTGAGTCTGTGGAAGAAGTATGTCCTATAAAAAAAAACCACTGCCCGCAACATAACTGACTGCATGTTTCCCACAGGATAGTTTTGAATCGTGCCCTAGTTTCTCACCATTTAAAACTCTTTGAAATGAGAATTTTAGGCAGCAAATAGGTTATATTCAGCACATGTGAATTTACACAGGCTTTTCTCAGTGCTGTGATGAGAATGTGGGTGTTTGCAATTTGCATGTCATTTAAATTAATGCCTCTACGGCGTAATAAAGTCTGCGTTTTCTGAGGCAGGTGGTTCTGTTCTTGCTTTTGAGTCACTAGTAAGTCAGACAGCACTCAGACTGATTCCCTAGCATCCAAATAAGCTACTTTTAGGTGTTGAATGTTACCTAAGCCTCTTTTCCACTCTAAAGCCTCTTTTCAAACCGAACCCTTTGTGAAGAATAGAGGTGCTTGGCTCAC